TAATAAAGTGCGAAAAATTAAGAAAACCTCGTTACGTAAAAATACAGAGTATAAACAGAGTTATTAATCCTTAACTTTTACTGGCTGAGTTAAAATGACTGAATTGTGTTTTGTATTAAAAAATACTCGTTCATGGATTGCATCTTTATGCTATTAATTGCCACTGCCAGTTCCACTCAGTAGAAGTTCATCAGTAAGGATAATTCTCATATGACCGCTCAACAACTCCAAAGATGCGACTAAACATTTAACACCCCTGTTTCGTATTTAGGATATTCGCCTTTTTTACCGATCCAGAGTCTGGATAAGTTTCTCGTAGCTTTCTCAGTATTTCCAGAAAAATTCTGATAGAGAAATTTAAGATTGTCCCCAATTGTTTCCTTCAGTATCCATACCAAATAGGAATGCATCATAGAATATAATTTAAAATTATCCATAAATTACGAACTGTATAATCTTGCGTACCCGACGTTTCGACTCTGATCAGCCTTTGTTCCGATATTCCTGTTCGACTAAACAAAATTCTCTTCTTCTCCTCCAATTTGTTGTCGGTGTCTGGTTCTAAAGTGTTCGAGGTCCGTTGCACGCATGTTTTGGTAGGTCGTGTTTCTTGCCCACGTCATGCGTTGGCTTTACGCAGTGCATTAGCAGGTGTTCAAGCTCGTGCCATGTCGACAGTATTCTGCAGTATTTCTTGTAACTCATCTGGGTGCAATGCAGGGACATCTGCTGCAGTGCAGCTCCAATCCCATGTCCCTTCCTTTCTTCTCCTGGGAATCAACTGGAGTTTCTATCAAGCTGTCGTCGTATTCGATCGACACCAGCGATTGCACAGCCTTATTTAACCGTGGCGACGACCAATCTAGTGTTAGTAATAATTCATTTCCTTATTTTAACGTATTAAATCAACATTTACAGTAGCCAATTATCGAGTCATCACACGAAGATAAAAGAAATACAAAAACAGAATAATTTTTAAAAATGAAAACAAAATTAAATACATATATTCAATCAAAACACTTTTTCGTATCGAAAAAAGGTCGTCAAAGGAGATAATGTTTTGCTAAGAATGTCAAAAATCTACATGTAATTTGTAGCAGTGATGCAGCTAGATGAAGCACTGTGTCACTCCGAAAGTAGAAAATTCTCCAATTTGTCTGGTAGGCATCAGTTTCCCGTGATGGAATGGCAAATTGGTAATAAAAAATAAAGCAATGAGATGTCGTCTGGAGTAAAGCGTTCTGTAATTTAAGTAATAATAATAATAATAATTAGGGACTAGATCTGTCTCGGGTACATGGGAGTACATACCCCATAAAGTGGTGAATACATGGGATATAATTCAATTCATTTATTAATATAATAATTATTAATAATAATAATAATAATAATAATAAACCTGACATAATAATCAGAAACAAAAACGGAACTTGCCTCTTAATTGACATAGCAATACCGACTGACAAGAATGTGATTAAGAAGGAAGCAGAGAAGATCTTGAAATACAAGGACCTTCTCATAGAAATACAGAGAATGTAGAAGGTTCAAGCAAAAATAATTCCAATAATTATAGGAGCAACTGGAACTGTCTCCAAGTCTCTTAGAAAATATTTGGCCAACATTCCGGGCGAACACATCAGGGAACTACAGAAAACTGCTATTTTAGGATCTCCTTACATCATTCGAAAGACGCTGTCCTAAAATATGTAGTCATCTGTAACAATAAAATTATATAATACATGTGGCATTTGCTAAAAACAATATGTATTCCGGAAATAGCTGCTGCCCTATGTACCTTAGGGACAAGGTCTGTCTCGGGTACATGGAAGTACATACCCCATAAAGTGGTGAAGAGATGGGATGATAATAATAACTGTCTTCACTGTCACTGTCGGTAATTTGATTAAAGGTAATATTAAACACAACACGATATACATTTCAGAACTGTTATGGCCTCTCCTAATTTATCCTGTCTGTGATCTATACACTTCCTCGTTGTCTCAGATACATTAAACCTTGAAGCACAGATTGGGACACGACCATGATACTGCAGGCAATTCAGTTTCTGATAATGGCCCAGTCGTTAAGGTTCGGAAGACATGACGTGAGTAATCAGGTTCATCAGCCTTGTGGTGGGAAGAATTTAAAAATGAACCAGTGGGAACTCTTCACACATTAAAGTGGTGTAGACTGTGAGCCAGATGAGAGTTTGGTTTCAGAAGGCTCAGGATGAAGAATGAGGGTGGAGACTGAACGAGATATGGGAACTCTCGTTACCAGGTTACATAAAACATCACTTCTCTTGTTAAAGTTTAGTGAGTTTCAGGTATACTTAAAAAAAATATAAAACAAATGCCTTGTGACCTTAACGTACTGTGACAACAACAAAAGCAGCGTAAGAGAGTTTCTCAGATTCGGTTTCCCGCGAAACCATTTCGGTCAAAAACATTACTGTAACCCGAAATCAAAACCTGATATATGACAACAGGGTTGTTTTATAAAAATTCCCTTAATTGTCGCCATATTCCCTATTGCTGTGTAACTGCAAGTTCTTCTTCCATTACGAAAACCGTCTATTGGGCTGTATGCCGAGCCAGTTCAATCCGTACATGGCGTTTATTTTCTCTTTGTGTATAAATCAAAGTTGACGACGGAAGATTGGTCCAAAGCCTTCTTATCGCCACATTTCTGTATCAGAATTTGCCTGTCTTATTAACGACGTCAACAGTTGCGCTGTTACGCTTAATTACATTTCAGCGCTGTATTCATTCAAAGTTGTTTTATGGGAGGAGAGCGATACCATCTTTAGTGTCCTCAGAGAATTGAGCGAAAACAGCTTCATCGACATAAAACAAGGATTATATTTTTCTTCCCTACTTTCTCCCTTTGTCTTTTATCTTTATTTGTTTTTGTCTATCTGCACTTCAACCAATCCTCCGTTACACTGTGCTTGTTTATAGGTCAAATTCCCTATTTGCCTCTCTACATACCTACTTACCTCTCTGTCTGTGTTATATGTCTTCCTGTACATCTTTATTTTCTTTATTTATATCGTCTTATTATTTAGGCGTGATTCGTAAATATTTGTGCGTTACTGCTGTTGAATTATCGTTTTATAATTCATAAATTTGGAATGAAATTCAGTTCTCCGCTGAATTTGTCATTGGAAAAGTCAGTGAGACGATGTAATTGTACAAGTTAACCCATTTGTGCTAAGACGGGCAAATAATACATTTTAATTGGTTCTTATATTTTAATCAAGACGCACGGTATTATCATTAATTATTAATCTTCCTATTATTCAGTGTCTTAACCTGAGATACTGAGAACGTTGTTAAATGAGCAATAAATAAAAAATAAATCTGAATACCGCATCAAAATTATGCTAGTTTATTCCAATGCAGTCGTAAAAATAGTTTCAAACAGTGAATCTGTAATAAACGTTAGTACGTCGTAATGACAGTGGAGTTAGAGTAGTAAATTTTGTCACACCGGAAGACAGATAATTACATTGATCAAGGATTAACACATAAAAGATGACATTCAGATTAAATTATGTCAGATATTTCAATGGTTCTGGTTATGATATTAGAAGTTATCCTATCTGTAAGTTGTAAGTTTATCGGAATTTATTTTCAACTTTCTTTTAGCTTGAGCCATTAGCAAGGTCAAAAGAAAGCCATGAGGGATTGTAATTGAAAGAGATACGGCAGCTTCTGGTCTAGTACGATATTAAATGATTGGATGAAACCATGAAGAAAACCAGAAACTCTATCTGACGCTACCGTGGCAATCAGTCGTAAAGGCAGAGAACATTCTGTATAAGCCATGTCTTTTTGCCAGAAAGCAAGACAAAAAATACAACGTAAATATAGCTAATAGGCCGATAGGTTCCGAAAATGTAGTTCAGTTAAAGTTTTTTAAGACATAATGTATCAAAATTGAGTTCGGGAACAGTTAATAATTTAAATTTAGGGAATGCTTGCTTGCTTCCTTTTTCATCATGTCTCCCAACTAAAGAACATAAAGATTAGATATAAAACTATAAGTTTGCCGTTGTTTTGTGTAATAAATTTAAGAAAATATCGGGTTTTGCAACCTTGTTATTTACCTGGGAATTGAACTGATAGTTTTATTATTGAATGCATAAATACGAATTGCTCTTTTACTAACAGTTCACAGTTCCGTTTCCACTTTTGCAGCTGAAATAAACATCGATCTTCAAGCTCCTTACAGAATTTAGGTTCCAAACATAACGAGAAACGCATACATATTACCATTACGGTTTTAAATGTTTTGGTAAGAGACCATATGAGAAACAGAGGTTAGATGGGCGATAATATTGTTATTGACGATGGCCGTCAACTGGAATGTTGCTCATATAGTCTGGTAGAAGTTTACAGACGTTTCAGGGGCACTTGCTTCCATCATCAGGACGATTGCCCTCATAATAGAGAATAAGTCAGACAAAGTCAGCTGACACACGTTATTGTATCTAGCATGGTGTCGAAATTGCAGTCCAAAATCAGTCAGCTGGTATTAGACATTGTAACTATTGACAGCGATAATCACAGATCTGTAGATTTTAAGAGAGAAACAAATTTTTGTAACCACGATTTTCATAGAGACACCATTTTCTATAATACTCAATTGCTGAATAAATAGTGCTGTACACAAATGATTTGGTATAATGTGTCTGGCATCTGCATGTCATCATACATTTGTTAATTTACATAATCTTATCCAGAAATTCCAAAACATTCTTTGTCTAATTAAGAACTATAATTTTTTCAGCGCATGAATTTACCTGCGGCGTATCTAAATTTATTTTATTTTTGGCTTACACATTACAGGTCTACGGAAAAATAAAACCATGATAATTAAAAATAACAGTGACATTCTCGATTCCAATAGTAATAACCAAATTCTTAAGCTTTAAATATAAGAGTGTTTCTCTTTCATTTTGCCAGAACTGTAATGTCAGGTTGTCTATGTTTCAGGCACACAATCACCTCGTGGCTGATCTCGATACGATGGGATTCACTGTTCAAGAAACGCAAAGTTTTGCCAATGAAGTGGCATCTGCCATGACGAAGCTGAAAGAGAAGGACGTCAGAATAATTCTTGGAAACTTCAACGAGTCGTGGGCCCGCAGGGTGTTCTGCGAGGCATACAGGTAGGCCTGTCGTCCCATTGACAGACATCGTCTTTATTATTACCATTATTAAAAGTATTATTATTGTTGTTGTTGTTGTTGCTACTACTACTACTGCTATTGTCATATTAGTCCTCTCACTCCTATTGAAAAATGTGTGAACACGTTTTAACTTTGTTGACCGTTCAGTCTACACGGAGCAGGTTAGGTTAGTCCTAAATTTTCGACATGTACCTGTTTTGAATCTACGTAAGATACCTTTTCAGACAGTTATTTTATATTGCTGCCACAGTTTCAACGTTAATCCCGAGTCAGCATCATGACACATATTTCACGACATTTGCTGTTCAACACTGTTTACTGCTTTTTCCTGTTTCCTCTAAGAACTTATGTGACGTCGTCAAGTATCCGAAGTATCAAGAGTGTAATTACAAACGTAATGTATTATCATTCATCTGGCTACATTTGATGGCAAAACTGTGTATGAGACTGAAGTTTAGACCAGGTGTATAATTCTTTTAAATGCGGAAGTTAGGAAAATTTAATAAAGAAAATTTGATGATGAAGTATTTGTATTCGAAATTTCTAAAATAACATAGTATCATATGATTTCATACTCCTAATTATAATTGTTTTATATATAAATTTTAAAATAAAATTTAAAGATTTCCTGGAAAGTAAGGTAAGATGATCTGATACTTTCCTCAGTGAAAATTATGAACTGCTTTGGTATCATACGTACAAATCTCGTGATCATCTAACTCTCTCCATGGACGAAAGTCTCAGTCAGATGATTAGTAGTCCTGTCTAATCCTGTAAATCCCAGTCCGATACTTTCGTAATTTTCCTTGGCCCCTTCATATAAATTTCGCTATTTGCGTTAAATTAGGCCAAGACGGCTTTTTTCATGTCCTATACATTTTATTAATCATCTTACCAATCAACGATGTATAGTCTGAGCTACCTACAACGTCTTTAAATAATCCACAAATATAATAACTCAGTTTGCTACAAACATGGGCTACATTTTGTATAACAGTGTCTATTCACTAGAACGTGGCTTGATAATATCTGGCTGAGTGGTTCCTCTTTCATGTCCAAAGATTTTGAGTTTAGATGCAATTTGGAGTTTTCCGCGTAGTAGCGTCAGTTATCGCCTGCGAATGTAGGAAAGCTTACCTTGCCCTCGTCTCCTTTTTCTGTCATTGTGGAATAATATGATCTTGCCTTTAAAAATTAACATTCTTTGCATTCTTCGTGTTTTAAGTTTATGGCCGTGGCAGAACTGTAAAACAGGACGTTTATTTATGTTAATCAGTGAATGTGCACTGTTTATTTTATTTTACTGTATTTTGTATAATTTAATATCATGTTTGTTCCAAATGTGCTAATCTCAAGTTTTGACGTCGTCACTTCAGCGATCGGGTTGGCCCGTGGTCTCTGAGATCTGTGCTGTCAGGGCCTCGTCTGCTGAAATTGCTTGTACGTGCTTAAACGATAATCTATCTGATTTGGGAAAGTGTAAGAAACACGAGAAAAAGTTGTCTTAACTCTGTCCGAGGGCTTATTCTCTTTCCGCCTCGCAGTTCGAACAGAAGGAAATTGGCTTCTTCTACGACGGAGTGTCTTAACATCAGTGATGAAATAGATTGGAGCCAATGAGAATTCAGGAGATTGGGCCTGGCCTAAAAACCTCCGTCAGCAAGAAATGTTCTCGTCTTTAATCCCTTCCAAATGCCAAAAGAACCCCGATTCTTCAAAAATGAAAGCGGAAATCGGATGTGTTCTCGAAAGAGACAATAACATTTTCGTTATTATTCATTCTGGATCAACAGTAAAGAAATTACATTCAAGCGGAGAAGCACAGAATTCTTATGTATGAATGTACTTAAATACACTAAATAGTTAACAGCATTGACGTGTTATTAAGCTTCAATTCTGATGCAAACTGGTTCTACGTTTAACGACACTTTTTCAGCTATATAGATTATATATTGTCGAATGAGTAAATAGTATTTATGAATGATGAATTATTAATAATATGGATGCAAGCGGTCATGTCCAGTTTTTAAGTTATTATTTCGATATTGAGTAAAGCCGTGAAAATTTTCAGTGAGGATAACCGGCTTGGGCCATAAATCTATCTTGGTACCTTCAAAATAGGAAGCACTTGACGGTGACGTCAGATATTTTTGACGTAATGACGCCTCAAACGTTTAACTTGTAGCAGCTGACAAGTTTGCCACGTGACTAAAAGCCCCGTTGTTCCATAGCGCAGGGATGTTTGGGCGCAAGTATCAGTGGCTCATCATGGGAACGTACACCGAAGAATGGTGGCTACAAGAGGCGGGAGTAGTTCCACCTTTTTCTGTCATTGTGGAATAATATGATCTTGCCTTTAAAAATTAACATTCTTTGCATTCTTCGTGTTTTAAGTTTATGGCCGTGGCAGAACTGTAAAACAGGACGTTTATTTATGTTAATCAGTGAATGTGCACTGTTTATTTTATTTTACTGTATTTTGTATAATTTAATATCATGTTTGTTCCAAATGTGCTAATCTCAAGTTTTGACGTCGTCACTTCAGCGATCGGGTTGGCCCGTGGTCTCTGAGATCTGTGCTGTCAGGGCCTCGTCTGCTGAAATTGCTTGTACGTGCTTAAACGATAATCTATCTGATTTGGGAAAGTGTAAGAAACACGAGAAAAAGTTGTCTTAACTCTGTCCGAGGGCTTATTCTCTTTCCGCCTCGCAGTTCGAACAGAAGGAAATTGGCTTCTTCTACGACGGAGTGTCTTAACATCAGTGATGAAATAGATTGGAGCCAATGAGAATTCAGGAGATTGGGCCTGGCCTAAAAACCTCCGTCAGCAAGAAATGTTCTCGTCTTTAATCCCTTCCAAATGCCAAAAGAACCCCGATTCTTCAAAAATGAAAGCGGAAATCGGATGTGTTCTCGAAAGAGACAATAACATTTTCGTTATTATTCATTCTGGATCAACAGTAAAGAAATTACATTCAAGCGGAGAAGCACAGAATTCTTATGTATGAATGTACTTAAATACACTAAATAGTTAACAGCATTGACGTGTTATTAAGCTTCAATTCTGATGCAAACTGGTTCTACGTTTAACGACACTTTTTCAGCTATATAGATTATATATTGTCGAATGAGTAAATAGTATTTATGAATGATGAATTATTAATAATATGGATGCAAGCGGTCATGTCCAGTTTTTAAGTTATTATTTCGATATTGAGTAAAGCCGTGAAAATTTTCAGTGAGGATAACCGGCTTGGGCCATAAATCTATCTTGGTACCTTCAAAATAGGAAGCACTTGACGGTGACGTCAGATATTTTTGACGTAATGACGCCTCAAACGTTTAACTTGTAGCAGCTGACAAGTTTGCCACGTGACTAAAAGCCCCGTTGTTCCATAGCGCAGGGATGTTTGGGCGCAAGTATCAGTGGCTCATCATGGGAACGTACACCGAAGAATGGTGGCTACAAGAGGCGGGAGTAGTTCCATGTTCCGCCGCTGAGCTTATGTTGGCGTTGGAAGGCTGCATCCTAACGGACCTACTGCCCCTGTCTACCAATGGCGAGATAACCGTTTCCGGAATTGTAAGTAACCCACATTCTTTATCCGTTCATTGTTAATTCATATTTTGCATTATTCATTTATACAAACGTCCCTGTCTCTTGCCTTCGCCTAACTTTGATCCATTAGGCCCGCACCCTTCTATGGCAAGTTTGTTATCTCAGAAAACACCTTAACCTATTCTGGCCAATATCTTCTTTTCCTTCCATAGTTTTTTCTTTCAGTTTTTCTCAAATTTATCTCACAGGTTTTGTCGATCGTGTTGTTTCTCTGTACTGACGCTTCGAAACAAATGCATACAGAATAACATCGCTTAGCCATGCGTTCCATTCATATTAAAATATCTGTTTGAAAACACGAAGATACAACAAGCTACTTAGACCTCTCTTGCATAGAGGACGTGTAATATTAAAACGTAATCTGTATCTTCAAGCATTTCATTTGCTTTTGCATTATCTGAAACGTTGTAGTGGCAACTACGTTTCAAGAAGTTGTTTAATTATTGTTAATTTATGAAAATGACGAGTTATCAGATCTACTTAACTGCTCTCGTACACACAGAAGTTCATCTGAGCATGGCGTCTGGCCTCTGACATTTGTGTAGTCAGAGTGAAGTTAAATGCTTTATAAAACATCAAACGAATGTTTGAAATGTTTAAAAAAAATAAAGAGATTTCTTCTTTTGTATCTGTAAAGAAACCGTTGCTTTCGGAAAAGCTAATTTTGAACAGATGGTCCTTATGTCTGTGTAACAATTTTTACAAAGATGAAACGTCTCCTTTCTGTATGGGTTATCGGTATATAAAATTCGTCATGAATAGTGAACTTTTCCTGCGTTTTCCGCTCTTGTCCGGTCTGCCTTCCAACATTTTACGGGCACATTTGTCGCTCCAGGGAAGTTTACAGGACAAAAGAAAAATGAAACAAACGAAATACATGGACTTCTGTCGTCCCTTTGAAGCAGGAAAATCATTTGCGTGGCAAATAAACATTTCTTCCTCAAAGAAATCACAGCGCTCCATTGCAAAGATCGGTTAGTTCATGCTGTTTACGTAAATAATAGCTGTTTGTTCTGAGTCACAGACCGTGGGTAAAGGATAGTTCCTGTAACTCCTAAGTTAATGAACGTTAAAGCAGGATGTTGATAAAGTTATCATTTGGCTTTGAAGAGTAAACGGAAAATAATCGTGTAGCTTGGTGTCAGATCTGCCATGTATGAAAAAATAAATAGAAGGAGCGCCCCCGCAACGAGATCTCTGCATTTAAACGGAATTTTAACGAATTTCTTAAAAGTATTCTTATCGGAAAAAACGTTTAATAAGTTCTGTATTAATTATATCGCTTAAGTGATTAGGCACAAGTGTCTGGAGATCCAGGTTTGATCCGAAGGCAATTCATGTGGTACTTCTGTGGATGTAACGACACATCGATGACGCAGAATAGAGAGTAATGTTTAACAATGTTTTTTGGATGATGAATTAAAAAAGAAGTAATTTTAGCGTATTTTACTTTATTATTCAGCAACACGCCAAAAGGCTAAAGTAAAAGGACGAAAAACTTTTCATGATATTCGGACACCGAATCAAGACATGGACAGAAAATATTCCCATCTGGAATATAAATAAAAAACTGAGCAAATTTGTTATGTGACAAGGAATGATATTTATGACTCTGCAAATATTTGACCAGCCTCAGCTGAAAACTTTGTCATATACAGTGCGTTCACCGATAAAACGGAACGCAACTGTCACTTTCCAGCGGGAACTGCGTAACTCACCGCCAAGCGCTACAAGATTTTCCCGATAAGAGTCAAGTATCGCTCCTGAAGATCAATAAAATCAACTTATCTGTTCTGCACGTATATCTGTGACAGTTTTTCAATAAAATCAACTTATCTGTTCTGCACATGATACTGAAATGATGTATCTGTGACAGTTTTGTTACGGTTTATCAGTGAACGCAGTGTATTACAAACTACGGCATGCTCCAGGCTGACTATCCTCGAATCGATGGTCCCGTTGCGAATCTCAAGACTCAACAAAGATTTTCATCTAAATCGGTAAATAGCGGTGCATGGAAAGAAAGGGAGTCCACTACCAAACTCGGTTCTCCAATGGTGCCTCAGCCTTCTTGAGGCTATGTAAGAAACTTGAGCTATCCACGTGGCGAGCCGAGTCGTGACAGCTTCCTCTCCTGCTCACACCGGGAATCAATACTCCGCACGGTGTCGACAGTTTTATTTACGTCTTCTCATTCCTGTCAGCCAAGTACCTGTCATGTTTAACGTGGCCACAAATGTTTGATAATCAGAATCCTACAGCAAGGGCATAAAGAAGTTTTCAACACTTCGATTTATCATCATATAACCATACAAAAGGATATTGTTTCATCTGTGGCGTCAGGTACCTACAAGAAGGCTGTATTAGAGTAAGTAGTTAAAAGTATACGTCAGCTATATTTGCATTACGGACTTAGTATCTAGGTCTATATTATTGTGACCCCATAGTCTTCCAAAATAACCGACCAAACGAATGCTGTTGGTCTAGATATTTGGTTAAATAATTATGCCGTATGTATCTCCTAAACATTGGTATCTACCACAAGTCCATATGACGTTACAATCCAGGAAAATAGCATATATAACTTCGACGCCGTGAGAACCTTAAATCTGATATGTTTGTAATGAAATTATGAGTTTAATATCACTAATTAGATCCCACAATTCTTGGTTGACAAGACTCCCACGATTGTAGGACGGTTCTTTTCTCGCCTTTACTAGATATAAAAGTGAAATTTTGCATTTAATACATAATTAGTTGTGTAATCGTTTTAGATCTTATAACTTCATTAACTAAGTTCTGCAAGTTACAAGTAAGAAAATGTAAAACCTACAGAAGCGAATGTTTTCTGGGATGTTGCGCCGTGTAGTCTAGTAGAAACTGCCGAAGTTTCGTAGATCCTCATCGCCCTGACGACGATGTCAGTAGAACCTCTAAAACATCGGTCAGTGTCTTCCGGACTACACCATGTAATATATCACAAGAGTCATATTTATACTTGCAGCCGTGGGAACCTGAAATCTCTCCTAAAATTCACTCTTCTTCTCAAAACCACCTCCAACACCGTTTCCTTGTCTTCATAGCTTCAGGAGAACTATCGACTTGTAAGCATAAAAAATGACACAAGTAGGAGGAAATTCAGACCAGTTAGCGAAACTCGAAGACGTGCTCAACAATTTATGCTCAGCATTGTATAAAATTTCTAGTCAGTGTAAGAAACGTCATTTTTAAAATGTCGTCTTATTTCTTTAGCACTTTACAAAGTGTTTACGTGTTTAGTCACTTAGAGACTGCCTGATATCACACTTTGCGTTTAACATAGGTCGTTTGATTTTCTTGTACTGATTGATAGGCTTGCTATGAAGTGATGAGACCTGCCACGTAATATGCCGCGTGCATGTGACATCTAGTGACAGGCATATGAATTTTAGCATTCAATTATTTTTCTTGTCATTCAGTATGATAATGGAGCAGGCAGATGTACATCAGAATAGCGCTGTGCTGTGAAGTTTCACACAGCAGAGGGAGTTTCCAGTTTTGAAATTTATTGATAGCTTTCTGACGTAACCAAAAAAAATAGTTTAGAATTATACAGTGTGTTTAATTCTTAATTAAGCCTGTTATCTTATTAAATATGTATTTGTTATTAATAAATATTTTTAGTTGTTTCACAGACGTGTTCTTGTACGACATTCCGTATCAGTGTCGCATTACGCTATATCAATACAAAAGTTCACAATTTTCCGTACTTACAGCGTTATACTATATACAGCAAGAAATTCTACCTTTTTTAAATTTTTATTGAGAGTGTTTGAATGTCTTCCACGTTTTTTGGAAAGGTGAAATGTCCGTTAGACCAAATTCTCAACGCCCTCCTTACAGCCAGAAACAACTCCAATCGATTTCCATCACCTTGGGTCGCTGAGTAGTCGATTGGAGGACTGAGTTTTAAGACGAAGAGTAGATTAAGTAGCACGTGCGTCATTTCTTCCAGAGGCTTCGAAAATGTGTTTAGTATGACGTACTAATATTATACTAGTATTTTTGTATACGGGATTTCCACGGAATCATCCATAATTACCATGTAATTTTCATATTGGACCGTTTTCGAAACTTTTGTAAACTGGCGTTACATTTTTGACAAAGAGGCTCTGCACTAATGTTTGTTGAGAAATGTTCGTAAAATTGTGATGTTATGGATGCTTATTACTTGAATATATAAGTTTTAAACTTCGAAACTCGCTACTAGTACAGACGCCGTAAAATAAGCCAATAAATATATGGCAGTTTATATGTAAGATGACGCCATCTTTGCCTATCTTTTAACCAAGTTATGCTAAATAAAGTACTACAAAATGTGAACGTATCCACGCTTTTCAGGTAGCAATTTTTAATCCATTTTTCATCCCTATTTCGTCTGCGATAATAGTAGCTTGATAATGCTATGTTGTAAAAAACAGAATCTACCCTTATTTTTTCGCCACATCCGATTTCATCCCTTAATGCAATTCTTTTGTGTCTTGAAAATGATAAGAACAAACACAAAACAATAGGTTTTCCAGTTCCTTGGAACTTTCTTTTGTTGGCAAAGTCCAATTTATCTAATGCATCGCTTGGGCGAAGTAGTTGCCCCAACTGAATTATACTTTTTTGTAGAATTATGCTAGAATTATTCCGATACGCCGACGTAAATATGAAAGCGTGTTCCATCTGAAAAGACATGTCGGCTTGGAGGCATTCAAATGCAAAGAACAGAGAAAGTAAAAGACTATTCGTTAGCATACATTATTTTAAACAAGCCATTTGTAAATTACTATCACACAGAGAATCTGCAACCACGACCGCATGAAATAATGAGTAACTATTGCTTCAAGTTTCGGAATCTGTTATATTATTTAACACATGTTCCACCGCTGTGTCTCGTCTCTCTTCTGCCACGACGTGCTTCCGAGAAAGGATGAAGC